CTGGGGTAAAGAACGGTCCAGTCACGTCTAGAAGCCATTGAAACTTCGCGAATGCGTGCATCGTGAAAGCTCGCAACTCCCTCCTGGTGTTGTGGACATGTTCTCCCTCAAGTACGAAGCGCACCAGTACTGCATGGTTTTCACTACAGATGCTTTGTAGATGGATCCTAGCTCAGAAACATCTCTCCACTTCTCTTTGTTAAAGCGACTGGCAGTGAATGTGTGCGAGCACGATGTCACGCGGTTCCCCCTCATCCTACACCATTGTGTGTAATGGGTAAACACTTCACGTTGCAGCCTGCTGTCCAACTCTTTCAGTGTAATGTTGATATACTTGCTTCCCAAATGAGCACAGATGCGACACCTTGATGCAAAACATGTAAGAGATCCTTGCGCGGTGGAACTGGGCTACACAGAAGACATACACCCCATATGACCCAAAAATTTCAAGGGAAACCCCAAAAAAAAATCTTGACTAAATTGAAGCTTGGGGTCTTCCAAATTTCTATCTTTGGTCCATCCCTGAACGCACACCCAACTCGACTGTTTGGACGGGTTGTTCAGCATCAAGAAGTCTTCGTGAGAAAACCGGACCCATTTTGGCAACGTTGTTACCACAAATGGTTCATGTGAGCACCCTGCAGGGCTGCTGTGAGTATTTGGCAGTGAATGGGTGTAGCTGTGTTGGTAGCGGAGTGATGTCGCACGATGCCAATATTGTCAAAAATTGTATGGGCAACAACTCCCAAGCCGGGAGGCTTACATTGTAAGCCTTCAAGTGTGAGCCCACGTAAAGGCTCAAAGGATAAGCCTCTTGGCTGTCTAGGAAGTGATGTGCCTGCCACGAAATCTCCACCTCGAGGTTCACAAAGCGCTGCGCCCGCCACGAATTCTGCATTTCAAGAAACAAGTGAAAACTCTGACCACAATGGAGGGACGATTCCGAGAATGATCCGAGCATGACCCGAGACCGTCTCGGCCACCTGGAGCTAGAGCTCTTGAAACTAGAGCTAAGTGGAGCTACAGCTCTTGAAACTAGGGCTAACTGGATGATGAGTGGTGCATGATAAGTGGTATATGATGAGTGTGAAGAGTGGTGTATGATGAGTGGTGTATGATGAGTGGCGTACGATGAGTGGTGTATGATGAGTGGTGTATGATGAGTGGTGTATGATGA